TGAGTGCAGAGCCAGGAGTAACCCCAGGGGCATCACTGAGTGTGACCAAAAACCAAAAACCAAAAAAAAAAAAAAAAAAAGAATGTAATTTGGCATAGCCTTATAAAGGCCACTGGAGCTCTGATCCTCAGCCTTCTGTTCATACATTTAGATAATGTTTCTGTTTATTCAGTAGTGTTCATTATAGTAGCATTAATATTAGAAAACACTGGAAACAAATTTCTCCATAGGGAAATGATTTGAAAAGAGAAAGCAAGTATGCACACATGCATGTACACTTACACACACATTTATACACAAACACAAATATTCATAATGTTTTCACTTGATAAAGTGAAAAAATTTGCAAAGCATTAAATGTAGACTTTTCTATTTAAAACAAATCGATATGAGCAGCTTAGATATTTTTTAAAGCTGAAAATACAAACCAGGCTGTTAATAGTGTCATCTCTGGGGAATAAAAGAACAAAGGATAGAGCAAAACAACCTTCTCTATTTTATATATGATTAATTCTCATAAAGGGCACAATTCTGTTGTCATTTCTTCTTAAAAAACAAATTAAGAAAAGATTGAATGCCTGTCATAAGAATTAGTCATATCTTGGATTAAATGACCAGAAAGACATTTATGGGAAACTGATGAATTAGCCTGGGTTTGCTCAGCACCACATGGCACCAAGCACCGCCATAAGTCATTGGAGCACTGAGCTGGGAGCAATCTCTGTGCACTACCAGGCATAGGGATAGCTCCAAAAACAACCCTAAATAGTAATGAGTCAAATAGAAACTGCAGGAAACACACTTCCCTGCTCACAACCAGAGATAAGACTGCCATTCACAGAAAGGCAGACGTCTTCACAGAGCCCATGGTCAGTCCTGAAGTGAAGAGGTGGGTGTGGACAGAGATGGATTTCAATCAACTGGTAAAGATCAATAGAAGACATTTGTTGATCTCTTTGAGAAGCCCCCTGCACACATCCCAGTTTAGCCATAAGCAGGGTTCTGCTGGAAGCACTGCACTGCAGGGCAGGGTGTACCCAAGAGCCATGAAGAACACAACTCAGCCTGGCGTCTTCTCTTCCCTGTACACTCTGAGTAGCCGAGTATCTGTCTTCACTCTTACTTCATTTATTCACTTTCACTGATCTTCTCCTCTTCTCAATTTTGAAGAAACAATCATTTATCCCATTTGCCACATCCAAGAGGCCAAAGGGAGATTGTTCTGGGCACGTCAGCTCTCTGAAGCTTGGTTCCCCAGTCCAGGCAGATTCTCCTCTCCAGGGACCATCCAGTCCATTTAATTCTGGTGGATCAGTAAAATCACTGCTGTAAGGAAGCTTTCAAACACTGGTTCAAAGAAGGGGTGTAGCAGGTAAAACAAAACAAAACAAAACGAAAAAACCACTACTAAACCGGCTGCGGTGCTCACTGAAGCTCAGGAGAGAGGGAACTCAGCCTGTAAGTTTCTGGGATCCATACTCTGGCCCTGAACAAAATAAAGCCCCCCCCCCCCCCCAAACCAAACCATAAGAAGAAAAACTTCCCTGGTCCAGATTATGAATGGAGGTTTCCCTGTGCCTAACCACTGGGAAGCAGCTTTTTGCTGGCAATACCATTTCCACGTTGAAATAAAAATATATTGTGCATTTCAGAATTTAGGTCTAGGTCTTAAGGGAAATGAGCTCTATGATGAATATAACAAATAGGCTAAGTTTTAAAATATATTCAAATATAGTTTTTCCAGTATGGCAGCTTTGAGTTACAAGGCACAAGAGAAGTAACTAAAGGAACAGAAAAATACCATTTTTAAAAAATCAATATATATAAATTGCCCTTAGTTTATGGAATCATGAAGTTCACTGCAACCTGGATGGACCTGGAAGGTATTGTGTCAGTGGAGTCAGCCGGAGGGAAGACAAATACCAGAGGCTCTCACTTATCTGTGGCACATATCAAATGAAGGCAAAACCTTGGCCCTGGATCACAGAAATGGGAATGCCAAGGCAGGATTGTGGGGTGGTGGGGGGAGTGTGGGGAGTGACAGTGAGGAATGAGGAGGCACTGGTCAAGGTTCTCAGACAGTGTGGGAAGGGAGAGAAGCTGGAAATAGAAAGGAAAAGGGAGAAGCTGCCTTACTTCAAGAATGGTGTGATTCTTCAGTGTGGAAGGACCACAGGACGAGCCTAATGAAAGACAAATATTCGACATTCCCACACACAAAATGGTAGAATTTTACAACTCTAAGCATAAACAAAACAAAAACAGATTATTTTTCACAAACAAGCCTGCTCATTCTTTTAACTACTGAAGAAAAAAGAGAATCTGACTGATGTCTGACTTCTAATTAGTAATACTGGATGTTAGAAAAAGTTCTGTTGATAGCTTCAGAACTCTGAAAGGAAGTTTTGTTTCATTCTGCAGCCACACCCAGCAATGCTCAGGGGTTACTCCTGATTTCTACACTCAGAAATTATTCCTAGCATGCTTGGAGGACCATATGGAATAGCAAGGATTGAAACCCGGTTGGTCACGTGCAATGTAAATGCCCTACATCCAGGTCCAAGGAATGGTTTTGAATCCAACACCCCTAACTCAATAAAAAAAATTTCAAGAGGAGGATTGAGCATTTGACTACTTGAAGACAGGCTGGAGAAAAAAACAAAAAACAAAAAAATTTAAGAAAACCCTAATCTGGAGTGCAAAAATAGCAGTGTAAAGGAAACAGTAAATCCAACAGTAGCCTAAGTGACTGTCTAATGTTGAAATACATGCAGACACACAGGAAACACAGTGCAAACAGAGTACTCCAAAACAAAGCCCAATGATCACACCAAGAAAAGTTGATAAAACAGGTAAAGAAGGTGGAGGCCTCGACTTCAGGGGGAGATAACGGAAGGTACAGACACTGCTGAACTCTTGATCAGAACGTGTATTCACCAAGAAAGGACATCAGGCTTGTGAAGAAAAAGCAAGAAAGAAAATGAAGATAAAACAATGTTCAAGAAAACAAAGTGCTGATACAAACAAAAAGCCAGGTATAGAAAACAAGGTGCAGGCATAGCCTAAATAACCCAACAATTTCAATTAGCATAAATGGATTAAATCCCCAGGTATCCTAGCTTGAACTCTGTCAAAAGCTGTTTTGACTACATTAAGTGGGGGAAACACAAGCCAATGTATAAAGTATCAGGACAAATAAGGAGTAGGTGAGTTATAAAAGGCATAATATCAATATTCACATAATACTTTTACATCTCAGAAATAGATCAATTAAATGAACAATAAGGTAAGAATGTGGAAGTTTGAATAATACGCTAAATACAAAAACCCTTGTAAAAGCCCAGACAGGCAATCCTCCCTAAACTCAATGAATATTTAAAAATAATTCATGCATTCTCTAAATTAGAAAGCATACAGGCTACATTTTATCTGCTTGGAAATTCTGAACATATTAAATAGTTCCTATTTAGTATAAAAGGGTATTTAGTTAAATCGTACAAACAAACGAGTCACCACATCTAAAGTCTCAAACAGCAAAGGCAGCAGCAAAAGAACATTTTTACTAATGCATTTATTAAAAAACAAGAAATATTAAAAATAAAACTTTGTACAATACACCTTACACCTTATTACCATCTCTGGAGATCAAATAGTCTGTGAAAACAAGAAGAATCTTCAATTTACATGTGTAAAAATGCAAACTAAACTGTGTTTTAGAAAACCAACTCAATGTCTAAGATTGGTTACATCAACCTGATGAAATGAATTGAGCTTAGTGTTAAATCTTTGAAAAGTATCAGAATTAATCTGAGTTCTTGACATCAGGCAAGGCATGATTCACTTTTCTATCTCTAATTCCTATACAACAGTGCCATGTAGGCACACAACAGTACTTCATGAATGAAATTAACGTACTGGATAGGTAGTTTCCCAATACAGGCCTCATCAGTGGAACAGAGTAAATCATAACTGAGTGTTTTGAATGGCTACAAGACTGGGCAACACTCACCAACCCAGGTCTGTGATAGAAGAGTGGTGCTTGTCAGGAGTTCCAGCATTCGAGAAAGGACCTTCCACACAGGAACAGAGTCTGTCCTGAGAGCCACACCCATCCTTCTTAGAGGCAAGTCATAGACTTCAACAATCACAGTGTCAGTGAACATGTTTCAAGTACAATAGACTAATTTTTAAAAACATAGCTCCCTCTTAGCTTTATATTAAAGCAATAAAAGCTTGAGTTCTTAGTATAAGCACAAGTGACAAGGGCATGAAATCAAAATCTCTGGTATTAATGGGAAAGCTAAACAACTTAAGTAGTTTTTATTTATCTATAAAGGGCTCAATTATGCTCTTTAAAGGATGAATTTTTAATTTAATTGCAAAAATAAATAATCAGCACTAATTTACTACTGTCTGTTATAAAAATCAGTACTTGAAGGAGGTAAAGGGCTATACATGATTACCTCACCTCAGGCCCTGTACCACAAAGGGTGGTGGTGGGGAGTGAGGGGGAGAGGGAGTGTGTGTGTGTGTGTGTGTGTGTGCAGGGAGCGGAAAGGGAGAGAGAGAGAGAGAGAGAGAGAGAGAGAGAGAGAGAGAGAGAGAGAGAGAGAATGTCTGCTAGAGGCAGGTGTGGAGGATGTTGATGGGAGGCAAACTGGGGACACTGGTAGTGGGAAAAGTGCACTGGTGAAGGATGGGTATTGGAACTTTATATGATTGAAACCCAATCATGAACAACTTTGTGGATGTGCATCTCACGGTGATTCAACTTAAAAAAAAAATTAGCACTTGAATTTATCAAGTACTTTACATACTTTTTCACAGGAAAATGAAAAAGTCCATTTTTAAGCCATCCCCCAAGAAGCAATTCAACTAAATCCAAGCATGTACAGAGGCCACACCTGCATTAATACTTCAAGAGGTGAAATATTATTATTATTTTTAGTTGCCATGTTGAGACTCAAACCCAGGGACCCAGACATTCAAGGCAAGTCATCTAGACTAAATCACGTCCCTGACCCTCTTGTATTAATATTTCAAAATTCAGTATTTGAGTATCATAATGCAGAAAGATGAATTTCAATATGTGCTTCAAAATAATGTAGGAAATTTTAAGACCTCTTGATTATATATGATCTAGACGATTTTTAAAACACTGTATCCTCTTGCCAGCTAGGGGTCAGTGCTATTTAGAATGGCTCTCTTAATTAAAACAAAATGATTACATTTCTCTCCCCAAACAACTGATTCCTCAGGTGAAAGGTTTTTTTTTGTTTTTGTTTTTTTTTCCCCTTTGGGCCAAACTTGACAGTGCTCAAGAGCTTGTGCTCTGGGACTGAACCCAAGTCAACACATGTTCAAGGCAAGTTCCTTACCTGCTGTACTTTCTCCAGCCTGTAAGTCACTAAACTAGAATTTTCAATAATGGCACCAAAGCATACTTTCCAGGTAACAGCAGTACATATAAATAAATACAAATAAAAAAAATTCTGCCAGCAAATATCCTATGATCCAGATAACATAGTCTTAAAAACTAGTCATATTTATTTGCATAGGATGGACTTTAAAATTCAACATCGTATCTTCTGAGGTTTACGATTTAATTCCTAATCCATTTTTTTTTAAAGCTTTTCCTCTGCCAACTTGAGGACATAACTATATTACACTGCTTCAGTTTCATGTGCTGAAACATCAGGCACTACTACATCCTTAGTCTTTACAGAATTAGTATTAAGTCCAAAAAAGTCTTTTTTGATGATGTACCGAACACACTGCAAAATCACATTTCTTTCATGTCGGATGTCCGGAGCTAAAAGCTAAAACAAAACAAAACAAAACAAAACAAAAACACACAATAAATACAAAGATTAGCTGGTAGATGAAACATAGCCAAGAAACATAATCTAAAAACATTATGTGTCCTCCCTATATAAACACAGTAACACTGAAGATCAAATATACTATTTTGCTATAGTACAAGGCAGGAACATTTTCTTTTAACTTATACCAAACCAGCTGTTTTAGACAGTACAAATGTGCATGTTTAGAGTATTCTCTAAGGGTATATGGAATAAGAAACAGATAAAACAGGCTTAAAAGCTTGAAGTTCTTGGGGTCAGAGTGATCAACAAAAGGGCGGAAGTACAAGACTTACACCCTAGTGCCACACCAAGGTGTGTAGCTTGGCCCAGAGGCCCCCCGTATGATGCTGCTGATCTGAGCTTTGAATCATCTGTTAGCCCCATACATTATCCAGCGCAGCACTGCTTAGGGGCATTTGGGGGAGCAATGCAGTGCAGCAACACTGCACAGGAGCAGCCTCACCACTGTCAAAAAAGTAATACATAAAATAAAAGGCGACAATTTTGAAATTCAAATTAGGGGGTCTTAAAGGCCCAATAAAATCAGCAGTAGAGCACCTATCTTGAAAGGGTGAAGGTGTAAGTTCGATCCTTAGCACTGCCCTACATGCTGAGTATAACCCCAGAGGCTCAGCTGGTTAGGATCCTCAGTGTCAAATCACGGCATGCACATGACCGTCAGGAAATCACAACCCAGTGTGTTCGAGCCCACAACTAAAGTTCCCGCCCTCTACTGAGCCCAGAAAACAACAAAGGACAAACTTCCTGACCCTGTGCTAGGCTGTTGTCACCAGGACAACTCAGAGGGGGGGTGGGCTGAGTTTCCCTTCCCACCCCTGCAGAACCCTGGCAGCTGAAAACCTCCAGAACCCAACTACACAGCCATGCTCAAGGCCACTCTCCACAGGCTCTGACAAGCCTTACCTATGAGGAAACCTGTAGAAAAACCCAGGTTTGCGGGACCTGTGACTGAGATCTCCAAGCTTGCTCGGAATGGGACTGGGCCTCCTCCCCCAGCTCCCCAGTTTTCCAGTAGCTTGGCAGTCACACCCACAAACTGCCTCTGGCACCATATAGTCTCATCAACAGCCAAGATCCAGAGACTATGAAATAAAGCTCCTGGAAAAGAGCTGTATAGAATGTCCTGGAACTTGCAGCCGCATTTGTGGCCATGCAACCTCTTATACTCTAGCCCACTGATGTACCAATAGTAGCACACATTTGTATGGATTTAACATACATGCTTGTAGTCTCTTATACAAGGACTTTAATGGCTCCAGGACAAAATACAACAATCTTCACACATTTTTAACTCTTGTGGTGGTGGGATTGGCATTTGAATATTAACTGTAATAAACTATTGTGAACAACTTTATAAAAATAAAATTAAATTAAAATGTTAAAAAAATTTAAACAAAACAAATTTAAACAAAAATGATATTGGAGAGTTTCAAACCCCACTCTAGGAACAGTTTAAAACTTGGTAAGGAGATAAAGTAAAAAAGGTAATAAAACCAGTAGTTCAAAAACAATATATCAACATTCCTGGGCTTTCACAGCTTCCCATTTTTGTGTTTACTGAAACAGAAAAACTGTAAAAATAACTATATAACCAAGGAATCACACATTATTTGACAAAAAAATAAAGTGACTACTGAATTTACTTTCTGATGTCATTAATAAATTTCAGAAGCAACTCACATAATCTGTGGGTAGAATGATAATTTACCAATCATAAGATGTTTAAAATGTATATTTACTTTATAAAGTGCTGAAACTTATAACAATAATACATTTCACATCAATTTTAATTAAAGCAACTATAGGGGGTCAGAGCCAGAGTACAGTGGGTGAAGCACTTTCCTTGCACACTGCCAACCTGGACCCTACGAGGAGAGAGCCCTGGGCCTCCAATGGCCTGTGAAGAGAGAGAACTGAACAGGAAGCCAGGAGTAAACTCCAAGCACTGCTGGGTGGTCACTACTTTAACACTTGAGAATGCAGCCACAGAAAACTTTAGCTACAACTTAAGTACTTACCTAAACAAGACAAAAATCAAACTCCTTACAGAATGTCAACAGTTTTATAACTCCATTAAAATAATTGGAATTGTTCTATCATAAGAAAGTCTTCCAATTTATTTTTAAAATAGCTTCATGCCCATTCCTTTAGCACTTGAATATAATGCATTTTAAGCATATTTCACTATAAATAAGGTGATAATGCACAAAATAAAAACATAAATCTCTTCCTCCCTCGTTTGCCCTTGTATGTCAATAAAACTTCCAAATGACCTTTATAGAGCTCAATATGAGCTTCCTTTCCACTAGTTAAACTCAGATTATTTATTTTTTTTTGCTTTTTGGGTCACACCCAGCGATGCACAGGGGTTACTCCTGGCTCACCAACTCAGGAATTACTCCTGGTGGTGCTTAGGGGACCATATGGGATGCTGGGAATCAAACCCAGGTCGGCCTCGTACAAGACAAACGCCCTTACCCACTGTGCTATATTGCTCTCAGCTCCAAACTCAGATTATTTTAATCATTAGTCTTCTTTATATAGCAGCTATATCTATGTACCAAAGCAGCTACAGAGTTACCATACAAAAAAGGCATCGAGATACCAAGCATATAGTTCCAAGAGCTTTAAAACGCATGAACGCACATATCCTGTCCCACATAACCCCCAAGCTCTATCTTCGTGACACAAGAAGATTTGAAAAAACGCATGAGAAGAAAAAACATTCACCATTTCCAGGAGGTATGGGTGGTGTGTCCTCGGTTCGAATAATGTTTTATAGTTGGGACAATTTCTTTTCCTCTTAGGGTTTGTCTTTTTAAAACTTTTCTTTGGGCTCTCATTCTTTGTTCCTGAGACATTCTTAGCAGTCCTGGCCTGCTGAACCTCTTGATCTGGATTCTGAGGAGCACTGCTATGAAGAATCTGGTCTTCCACGAGAACATCAGCTTCAGTCTTGATAGGAACTTCTAGATGCGATTAAAAAAAAAAAAAAGAAGACAAAAAAAACAAGGTAAAACTTCCAAAAATAACCCCTTACCCCAGTCACAATACTGAGTAATTAAAACTAGGCACTCACAAGTACTACAATACTTTTTGAAGATCTGACATAACTGAATGACACTGGCAGTGATGAAGGAAAGAGATGAGGAATACAACCATAACAGAATGAAACAAAGAATTCACAATGTGGTTTTAGATTTTAAACCTAAAAGAAAGGGGGCCAGGAAAATGGCTCAAAGGGCAGGGCTAGAAACATGTTTTGCAAGCAAGAAATGAAGACATACATAGAAATGTATTAAATGTTGTCTTAGAGAACATTTCTACAGCTTGTTTTTATGGGTTAGAATAATCAAGCAATGCTTTCTTCACTGATACCTGTCATAAATACAACTGATAAGCTGGAAACAAAATATGTGTTTAAAGAATAACTCTACTTTTACATCACTGTATTGGAAACAAGAGTAAAGAAATAAAATACTGTTATTTTTCAACTAAGAAAAAAAAATAGGTAATCATGTTAGGTAATAACTCTGATAAAGCCAAAGTAGTTTCTATTTCAAAATTCAAGTATCACTTAACTAGCCACCACAGACTCCTTAATTAAATAAGAAAATCCTGTTACAGACTAAACATCTTTCATACGAAAGCTCAACTACCCCTCCAACCTTTCCCAACGAAACAAACACTGATTTTCTGTAGCTAGTCAATGCTAAAAGTACTACCAGTGTCACCCAGTTACATGAGGTCTTCTCTTCATTCTACAATTAAACTTTTAAGCCCCCAATTCTGCAGAACAGCCACTATTGTGATTATACACCATGCCTTGTACCTACATACCAACTTCTCACAGCTGGTAATACCAAAATAAATTACCCTGAAAAGTCAACTGCCATAACAATAGAACACATGCCTATTTACTAAATTAATGTCATAAACCTTAGGTTAAGAACTGCCCATGCTGACAGACTGCACTCATTTGTGAAATATATATACATATTAAAAAAAAATAGTGTACCAAGACAATAAAACTGTAAGTACACACAAAGAAAAAAAAATAGCATAAGACTAATATCCAAGGCCAGAAAAGACAGAGGCCAGGAGGACTGGTCAACGGTTGGAAGAATGCCACGTGTGTGTGTGTGTGTGTGTGTGTGTGTGTGTAGGACTAGAGGGGAGCTGGGACAGGGGAGGACGGCAAAGGGCAGTCAGGAGAGAGAAGGACCAATATGACAATAACAATTATAAATGATTACTGGATTATAGTTCTAAGCATTCTAGGTTTAACTTTGGTTTGTCCTTTCTCCTCTAGCAGGGAGCTTAGGTGTACTGAGTCACTCCCACCACAGTGCTCCCGAAACACACCCAATTCCATCAGGCATTCCCAGTCCTGTGTTTATCTTTAACCTCTCCTTTGTGCTCTTTTCGTCCTATCTGTTAATCATTTATATCCTCAAATCAGAACCTGTTACTTGTAAATTCAAATTCTTCTGAGGGCTCTGGATTTTTTGTATGTAAGTGAAATATTGCCTCTCTCTTTCCTTAATGCCCTTTGCACACTTTATTTTAGAGCAACGTCCTTTTTGGATAGACACAGGACGACAGTTAATCCTGTGCTTTTATAACATGGAAGTTAATTGACTGCAAATAATATTTACTCCTGGGCACCCATCATATTTACTTGACTTAAGCCTCCGTTGCCCTTAGACTGACCTTCAGTTCCTAACACCCCAAAAGGTGGGTCCCAACTGGGACTTGGATGAACCTCAGGCAAGCCGTAGGCTACCTGGCTTCAAAAGGGACAGCCCAAGCACCAGAAGAAGCATGATAAATTAGCATGGTCATGAGAGCTCTATCCTGACCTTAAAAAAAAAGAACAACTGAATAAGGAATTTGATGGGGTGAGGGAAAACTAACCTGGCTTGAGGACTGCAGTCTGGGAAATACAGTGAGGTGCCCTCCCACAGGAAAACCCACACCCTTTACCATGAGTCCAGAGAGACCATTTACGCTTAATTTAGGGTATAGATAAAAGCCTCATCTCTGTTTATACAAAATGATTAGAATTATTATTAAGAACAGCGATAACACAGCGGTAGGGCGTTTGCCTTGCACGCAGCCAACATGGCCGACCCGAGTTCGATTCCTCCGCCCCTCTCGGAGAGCCCAGCAAGCTACCGAGAGTATCTCGCCCACACGGCAGCCCCTGGCAAGCTCCCCGTGACATATTTGATATGCCAAACACAGTAACAACAAAGTCTCCAATGGAGACGTTACTGGGCCCGCTCGAGCAAATCAACGATCAACGGGAGGGCCTTTACCTTTTAAATTTAGTATGATTGCTTAAATGGATCACCAGCAAAAGAAAGAAGAATGACAAGTGATCATTCTGGACAAGAACTAGGTGTTTAAAGTCGGTAAAGGGATATACATGATAACCTTTCAGTATCTGTATTGCCAAGTCATAACGCCCAAAAGGGGAGGGGGGGGAGAGAGAGAGAGAGAGAGAGAGGGAGACGGAAAGAGGGAGTCAGGGAGAAGGGGAGAGGGAAAGGAAGAGAGCGTGAGAAAGCATGAGAGTGGGGGGGGAAGAGAGAGAGAGAGAGAGAGAGAGAGAGAGAGAGAGAGAAGTATCTGACAGGCAGGCAGGGATGGAGGGACTAGAGAGGGAAACTGGGGACATTGATGGTGGGAAATGTACACTGGTCAAGGGATGGGTGTTGGAACATTGTTTAACTGAATCCCAATCATGAACAACCTTGTAACTGTGTAGCTCACTGTTATTTAATAAAAAAAATTTTTTTAAAAAAAGGAAAGAGGAAAAAGAGGAATGGACCTAATCTCTTATTTAAAGGTACTGGAGAAAACACAACACAACAAAACAAAACAGGAAGGCCTACGCCAGGACTGGAATGATAGTAAGCAGGCACAACATTTGCCTTATGGATGGCCAACCTGGTTTTGATTCCTGGCACCTCCATAGTCCCCCCAAGTCCACCAGCAGCAATTTCTGAGTGCAGAGCCAGGAGTACACTCTGAATACCACTGGATCTGGCTCCAAACCCAAAACAAAACATGCTGAGTGACAGTACAGCGGATAGGGTGCTTGCTTTGCATGTGGTTATTGCACGTTTGAACCCTGGCATTCGATAGGTCCCAAGCACCCCCAAAAACAATTCCTAAGTGCAGAGCCAAGAGTAACCTCTGAGCATCGCTAGGTGTGGCCCCAAAACAACAGCAACAAAAAATACTGTCCAAGCTACTGATGAACAATCTATCACAACTCTTGTAGGTGGCCTTAAGAGATGTTACAGCTCTAGAATCTGGAAAAACCCTGAATGCCCAAGAACAGATGACTGGTTGAAGAAACTTTGGTACATCTATGCAATGGAGTACTATGCAGCTGTTAGAAAAGATGAAGTCATGAAATTTATATACAAGTGGTACTACATGGAAAGTATCATGCTAAGCGAAATGAGTCAGAAAGAGAGGGACAGACATAGAAAGATTGCATTCATCTGGGAAACATAAAGTAACAAAATAGGAGAGGAACACCCAAGAATAACAGAGGTAAGTACCAGGAGGTTTACTGCATGGCTTGGAGGATAGCTGCACATGCCAGAGGCAGCTCAGATAGAGAAGGGAGGACCAAATAAAGGGTGTAGGGAGGATCCTCACAGGATGGGAGATGCGTGCTGAGAGTAGAATTTAGACCGAATATGATTGCCACTCAATGCCTCTTTTGCAAACCACAGCACCCAAAAGGAGAGAGAGAACAAAGGGGAATGCCCTGCCACAGAGGCAGGGTAGGATGGGGGGATGAGGGGTGGGAGGGGTACTGGGATCAGTGGTGGTGGAAAATGGGCACTGGTGGAGGGATGGGTATTTGATCATTGTATAATTGAAACCCAAGCACAAAAATTTGTAAATCTACAACTGTACCTCATGGTGTTTCACTAATAAAAATCTTAAAAAAAAAAAGATACTACAGCTAAGGTCATCATCTTTAAATGAAATATCATTCAGTAATGGGCTGGAGTGATAGCAAAGCGGGTAGGGCGTTTGCCTTGCACGCGGCCAACCCAGGTTTGTGTCCTTCGTTCCTCTCAGAGAGCCTGGCAAGCTACCAAGAGTATCCCGCCCATACGGCAGAGCCTGGCAAGCTCCCTGTGGTGTATTCGATATGCCAAAAACAGTAACGAGTCTCACAATGGAGATGTTACTGGTGCCTGCTCAAGCAAATCGATGAACAACAGGATAATGCTACAGTGCATCACCCAGTAACCTGAAATTTTCTGACTTCTTCAAAAGATTCTTTGAAGGATTCCATCCCTTCCAGTCTTTGAAACACAGGACTAATGGAAACACAAGGATAGGGCTGCTACTCTCCCCATGGAGGCATTTTGGAGCACACACCAAATATGCTCCATAGAGATCTGTGCCCAATCTACACAAAAGGAATTCTTTTTCTGCCTACAAAAGGTGACAGAGGGGCCAGAGCACTAGCACAGCGGGTAGGGCGTTTGCCTCACACGTGGCCGACCTGCGTTCAATCCCCGGCATCCCATATGGTCCCCCAAGCACCTCCAGGAGTAATTCCTGAGTGCGGAGCCAGGAATAACTCCTGAACATTGCTGGGTGTGACCCAAAAAGCAAAAAAAAAAAAAAAAAAGTGACAGAAAACGTTGGGAAAAGGTTTGTGACAGGAGGAAAGAAATGAATTTCCTCTGCTCCATTCTTCAGTATCATTAGTGGATATTACCTCCTTCCTATTGCTTAATGGTATTATTTTTGCCCTTTGCTCCAGAGTACCAAACACATTCCCCACAGTTTTTAGTTTTTCTCTAGTCTGCGTTGATTTCTGAGACAAAAGAATTATCACTGGGAATTCCATTTGAGAAGATCAAATAAAGAATGCACGCACAACAGTGTGTCGTTAAAGGTATCCACACGAATGGATGCCACTAAGGCCTCAGATACATCAAGGGAGGAAACAAGTACCAGCGGAGGCCATGGCTTACCTTCTGGCTCACTCTCTGACCCGGACAGGTCGCCATAGCTGCTCATAAGAGAGCACAGGGCTGGTGTCACCTCCTTGGGTATGACAGTACTTTGGGGTTTCTCCTCTTTGTCAGACTCTGAAAGAGAAGAGGGGAAAAGACCATCAAAAACACTCATCTTATAAAAGAAAGCTGGCAGCCCTGCAGTTCTTTGCGCTAGTGGAAGTTTATACAGTCACTTCCTGAATCTTCCCTTCTCCCACAAATGAGATCCTGGGTCAGTGTTTCTCAAACTGGGTGACGTTCTGATCCCCCCCGCCCATAACAGGGGACAATAGAATGATGAGGGGGGACTGGGGACTGGATGAGGAGGTGTTAGCAGACTCAGATGCAATTTAAACAAAAATAAATAAAAACAGTGGCTGTACTTTCTCACAAGGGGGACAGTAAGTCAAATAAGTCTGGAACACTTGGGCCTAAATCTTCAGTCAGAAGTTATTTGTTTCAAAGAGAAGTCAGAAGAACAAGTGAAAGTCATACACAACTCAGTGACTTATGAGGCGTCACAAATTAGGCCTTTTTGAGATGAAGTAAATTTAAAATACTTTTACTGATGCCACCTAATTTTAGTAAAGTTACAGGCAGACTAAAAAAGTTTATTAACCATTGAACTGAACTAAGGATTACTAATTCTGAAAATCAGATTTAAGGATAAATAAAATATAAACATCTTCACCTTGGGGTGAGAGTGACAGTACTGCAGGTCAGGTACACGCCTTAAATGTCACCCACCCAGGTTCAATGCCCTGCATCCTGCAATGCCTCCAGAGCACCTCCGGGAGTAATTCCCAAATTCAGAACCAGGAGTAATTCCTGAGCACCACTGAGTGTAACACACACACACACACACCTTTTTTATGTCTATGAGATGGTTCAAGAGTAATTCTGGAGCACCACTGGGTGTAACACACACACACACACACACACACACACACACACACACACACAACCTTTTTTTTATGTCTATGAGATGGTTCAGGGAACATGAATGTTTAAACTATTCCAGAAAGCCTCAGTCAAAAAGCTCTGCTGAGATGCTCCAAGCTTTATTACTTAAGACTTCGAAGAACTTAGGTAAATAAGCCAAGCATGAGTATTTAGCAAGTACTAACTAGAGAGTCTGCCAGAGATAAAGTGTTTGATCAGGGCCCAAAAGCATAATTGCAGCCAAGAGACACCACCTTTACATTTATTGTTGGCAGCTTTACATCTTTTCTAAACAACCAATAAAAATAAAATCTGGCTTAAAAATAAAGAGAATTAAGTAACCTGTCTGTATAATAAACTAACTCAATGCCAGATAAGAGGAACCACTTAAGACTACTCAATGTTCACCATGGTCATGCAGGGGAAAAAAAAAAACACCAGTCTGTTAGAAACACAAAGATGCTTTAATGTAGACACGAACCTACCATGTTGTGGAAGACAAAGCTCAATTCTCCCTCTTCTACTGACCTACACCACTACTACTTCAGCATACATCACACCCTGCAAAAACTGCTCCTTGTTAATTTTTAACATTGTCTCTGTTATCAGTCAAAGGAAAGCAAAATGGGCCACTTTACATACATGAATTACTAGTGAGATAAATAGGATTTACAACAATGACCACAACCCGGGATCTTGTGTGCTCATCACCAGGAGGAATAACATGGGTTGAGACCCTAACAACCTCTCCCTCTGCAAAGGCGAATCAGGCTCACATAGTTCCAGCAGTGGCACTGAATGAAGAGCTTTAGCAGACACACACAGACACAGACACAGAGACACAGACACACACACACACAAACCCAGAAAGATCTAATTTGTAGGACAACTCTTTCCCTATTTTGTTCCCCCACAGTTTTGTTCTGGGGCCTCACCACATCTAAAGTAACACTTTGAAAGGGTCACCATTTTGGGGGCACAATGTCATGTTTGTCACATCCTCTATGTCAACTTTTTATCAAAAAAAAATACAAAAACCCCAAAATATTATTCCCAAAGCCCCTTGGATTTCTCTAGCATGTCTCTCACAGACACTTCTAGTCGCTACTTTAGAAAGACTACACTGCAGGCATTATGCTGAATGAAAACAGCCCAGGCATCTCCCTAACTAAAACAATAGTTGCAGTGTAAATGACAAAATCAAACTGTTAAATGTTTATAAAATACCAACTCATCTTATCGAAGTAAATCTCGCCCCTCTCTCATACATGCACATCATTTCTCACCAACCCAAACAACAACAAAGTTAACTTTTTAAAAGCGTTTATTTCATTCAAAACAGTATCCAAAACCATCAAGTATCTAGAAATCAACTTTAAAAAGAAGTGGGAGATCTCCACCAGGAAAACCTGAAATCACTTAAGAAAGAAACAAAAGACCTTTAAAAAGGAAAAATACTACAGGCTTGTGGAGTAAAGAATCAATACTTCAAAATGATCATCCTACTTCATTACAGAAATCCAACTCAATTCCCATCCAAATTCAGACCTTTTTTTCAGCTTAGAATAGTCAGTAATAAAGTTCGGAAGGAATCATAAAAGAACCCAAATGGCCAAAAACCAAAATGAAAAATAAGAAACTGGGAGATATCTCATTACCTAACATGAAACAACATTCCAAAGCTACAGTGATCAGAACAGCATGGTACTGAAATAAGGAGAGGATCTCTGACCAATAGACTAGAATCAAGTTCCCAAGGACAAATCCCCATATTTATGGACAGCTGTATTTCAAAAAAGAGGCTGAGAATGTGAAATGGAGTAGATAGCCTCTTCAACAAATGGTGCTGAGCAAACTTGATAATTAGATGTAAAAAATTAAAGCTGAATCCAAATCTCACACTTCACATAAAAGCCAACTGAAAGTGAATCAAAGATCTTGCGATCAGACCAAAATCTATAAAGTTCATGGTGGAAAATATAGGCAGAATGCTCCAAGGTTCAGACCTCAAAGGGGTCTTAAATGTTACGATGCCATTGGCAGATGCAATGGATCAAAAAGAAACAAAAGGAACTACATCAAATTAAAGTTTCAGCATGACAAAAAAGCTTGAGCTAAAACTAAGACATTTGTTGGTGGAGGGATGGGTACTTGATCATTGTATAACTGAAACCCAAGCACAAAAATTTCTAAGTCTATAACTGTACCTCATGGTGTTTCACTAAAAAAAAAAAAAAAAAAAAATCAAAAACAAACCTAAGACATTCAATTAAATGGGAGAAAATACTTGCACTCATCACAACAGGTACAGGGTTAAAATCCAGGATATATAAAGTACTTACAAAGAATAACAAACTTCAAAACCCTATCAAAAAATGGAAAGAGGAATGAAAGGTACTTTTCTGAAGACAGACGGATGGCCAGATCGCCATGAGGCACAGGAAAATGTTCTCATCACTGGGGCTGGAGAGACACTACAGTGGGTAGGGCGTTTGCCTTGCATACAGCTGACCTGGGTTCAATCCTAATACCCCATATAGTGTTCCAAGTCCACCAGGAGTGATCCCTGAACATAGAGCCAGGAGTAGAACCTGTGTACTGCTGGTGTGCCCCATCCCTCAGAGAAAAAAGCTGTCATCATCACTTATTAAAAGTTCAAACCAAGATAATAATGAGATATTATCTCACAAGACTGACAATGGCATTTATCAAAAATACTGGGAACAACCTGTATTGGCAGTGATGTGGTGAAAACAGAACTGTCAACCATAGCTGGTGGGAAAGTTGCCTGGTTTAATCCCTATGTAAAATAGTAGATGAGAAGGGAGGGCAGGGCTCAAGGGCCTCGGGCACATTGGTGGCGTAGAGGAGCAGTATAGCAATTATATCTGAACCACAGTCAACAGTAAGAGCATGTGACCCAAACTACGTGAAAACTTAAAAATTGTACCTGTCAAAGAGACAGGCTAGGGTGGAGGGAGAAACCTGGAGGTTTTGGTGGAGGGAAGCTAACACTGGTGGTGGACTGGTGCTGGGAGACTGTATGCCTAAAACTCAACTATGAGTAACTTTAGAAAACAGGGTACCTTGACATTTGAAAAACTCTGATCCCAGGGCTAGGAGACAACAGTTAGGGCAGTTGCCTAGCACACACCCAGCCCAGGTTCAATCCTGGGTATAACATGGTTCCTTAAGAAATACCGGGTGCAGCCCTTAACCCCCCAGCATCGCCAGGGCGGCTGGGGTAATCCCGATGCCACGAGGTCCGAGCAGCACCCCATTCCCAGTCCGACTGGCCTAGAATTCCTGGTAGGATTCCTGGGCCTCCTGAGCACAGCTTGGAAGGTCCCCAAGACAAAGATAAAAATGATCATTAGGCTAAGACTTTCCTGAAGGCATAGAGAGGATTCTATTATGGTGCTGGCAAGCACAGTACAGAATCTCAATAAAGTGTTACTGAAACTTAAAAAAAGAAGAAAAACCACTTTGGACAACTTGCCCAATCCTAAATGTTAGTTGTAAAAACTTCCCATCTGGTTTCTTTCTTTTCTCTTTTATAGTTTTTTATTTCCAGGGGGCATGCTTGGAGGTGCTTACCTCCCTGCTGGCAGTGCCAGGGTCAGGGCCTGGGCCTGGCCTCCCACCTGCAAACCATGCCCCCAGCTTGTTAAGCTATCTCTCCAGCCCTCAATCTGGCTTCTCTTTTCAACTTGTCTCTTTGTCTCTCCTCACTCCTCCCTCCCACTCTTTCCTATTGGCTTTACTGAAAACAAAACACAATACTATGGTCTACCTCCAAGAATAGCTATAAATTAAAGACGCCTAAAGAAGACGCCAGATATTTTAAAAGCCATTCTAAAGAGAAGTCACTTTGCTTTACAGTTTCCAGTTCTCAAAAACAGACATCTGTGATTGCTGATAAGCTATGTCAGCTTATTTTCTTACTTTTGCTTGTACTTTGAAACAACAGACGCCACCAAGCAATGGCCGATGCCCGTGTTCTCTATGACAATAGTTCTATTTTTATTACAGTAAGTGACTAACAACTAGCTCTTTAGCTTTGTGGATGCTGGAGAATTTCAGGCAGGCTGCCACATGACTGACGAGCTCCTTTCTTTTCTTTTTGCTCAGACAATACTTACTAAGATCACAGGCCAGGAAAGCCAAAAAACATGTTTTATCTATTTAAAACAATGGCAACAAAATTAACTTGCCTCTAGCTAATGACACACAAACACACATAATAAAATGAATAAACATCAGTTATAGTCAATATGGCAAAGACCAGCATACTCAAAACTGACAAACTGTGGGGACTCCAAATGATAGGCTTCCCTCTGAAATGATGTCAGCCCCCCGATTTAAAACATGCAGTCACTGAGTTCACAGTACCCACTATCACGGAAGATAATCTTTAAAGATAATCACTACTTTGTTTAAAATGTGAGTGCTGATGCCTAGATTAGATTCTAAGCTGTAAAATGGGCCAAAGAACAAGCAAATAGGGAGTTCAGTGTCAATTGTATGTGAGAATATGAACAAGGCTACAAGCTGATGAAAGTTGCTTTGAAAAAAATGATTGACACATCAGAGTCTGGAGATGACATAATTATTATGGGCAGATAAAAAAAATGGGACATAGTTTTTGTAGCCTTACCTGAGTGAAATGTTAAAGAACAGTAGTTGTTGTCAGTATACATATATATTTTCTTACTTTTAGACACCGTGCTTTGTATGTTGCTAACATGTAGTTTTATGTATACAATATTTTAACACTACACCCTCCACCAACGTTCCCCAGTTACTCTCTCCATTCCACCCCACGTATATCCACCAAGGTAAGTTTCGTTTTCTAGACCAGTTCTCGGTTCTGCTGCTTTGGACATTTGTTTTAAATTTTATTTGTTTTAGACTGGAAAATGTAGAAGTCCAGGGATAAGATACAATAATTTAGATAGAAAGTAAAATGAAACAACTAGAATCTGATCATTGATGTTTTGGTTGGTGTCATTCTTAGCCATCATCTCCTTATGCCAAGATGCCTTTCCATCCTAATGTAATAAATTTGGGTTCAATCTTTGGCACCACATGTCCCTATATGTCCCAAAGAATAGCAGGAGTCATTGCCTGAGCACTAAACTAGGAGTAGCACACCACCAGGTATGATCCAAAAAAAATAGATAAGTGACTTCCTCAAATGACTTCCTCAAAGATTATCTTCATGATCAGAAGCATAAATATATCCTTGCACCTGCTGGACTTAGCACTTTATAGATATTGGGAAATTCACACACTAGGCAAACCTGAATTTACAAATTCAGTATGTTCAGACAATCTTAAGAACAAGATGGCTCCGAGGGCTGACGTGCAAGCTCTGCAGGTGGGAGCCCGGGTTCATTATCCAGTGCTGTATGGTCTTCCAAGAACCACTGGGCATGGCCCTGGGAATTCCCGGCACCCCTGTACTTCAAGTACTGCCCTCTGGAACCAAGCACTGAACTATCAGCTTGCAGTATCATGCTAAATATTTAAGGTTTTTTTTTTTGGGGGGGGCTGTTAAAAAATGAAAATGTCCAAGATTATATCAATATATAGAAATTATACAACAAAAGCCACAATCTGCTCACCTCTCACACACAAAGATTAAAACAAGATATCCTAAAATAGAATAAATTTCAGCACTGTTACTAATACTCTTAGAAACTGGTTGTTTTCCTTACCAGAGTCAGTGTTGACCAAAACACCGAGAGGGTCCGAGTTCGCTTCAGGTGGACCTAAGGGCTTTAAATCGCTGCCACGATCATCCAATCTATTGGCTGCTCGCTGCCCAGCCTGGTGATTTTTCCATTTCTGGTGTTTGCCGGGGCTTCTGATCTTTGCCATCTGTGAATGCCTGGACATCCCTTTCATCTTGCTGAAAAAAAAAAATGCAACTCAAAAGTGTTAGAAGTATTATTCTTTCAAGAAAAACTTGTATTCTGCCCACTGAATAACTTAGCTATTATAGAGTAGGTAAATTCCTGTCTACTCTTCTTAAGGAGACTAGGCTACTGGTGCATTTCTAAATACGCTGCCTTCTCTAATCTGCCTGACAACTCTCTAAACTAGACAGACACAGTTCACTATCCAGGATAAACTCGAAGATCATAAACCAAATAAAATTTCACAGCTAGCTCAAATCCAGAAACCTCCCAATCACTGTAATTATTTATCTTAGAAATAAAACATTTATATGAGCATATTCTAATACAATTACAAATAGAAAAAAAAAATAAGGAACACTTTTTAGAAGACTCATTACATATATCCCCTATAATATAAGGTATCCTTTTGGTGATGCCAAGTTTTTGTAAAAATACATGAATTTTTTTTTGCACTCATCAGACATTAATTCATTCTTTCACTAATAATAGAGGCTACAGTCAGGAATACGGAAATCAGAAATCTGGACTCAAATGCCAATTCTGACATGAGCCATGTCTTTTGGACAATATGAGTATCTTGAGTCTGTTTACTCTCCCATAAAAGAGGGATTCACAGAGATATATAATTAATATAAAGTGCTGTATGCCTAGAGCAAGGTAAGCCTTAATACACAGCAGTTATTTATCACGACACCGTCAAGTAATTCTCTAAACGCACAGTTATCTAAGCCATCCGGATCCTCTCCCTCCTTTATGGTGGGCAGGAGAGCACCCAGCAGGCTAGGGCCGGAGAGCCAGGTCCGATCCGCAGCACTGCAGGAAGTCCCAACACTGCCAGGAGTGATCCCCAAGCAACCCCTGCCTTAAGATCCTGGGTGGGGATCACAAGTCAGATAACAAATCCTTTACAGTCCCCGTGACCTTCAGACCACCTCAATCCAAAGATGCAGGTGCCCACAGCAGTAGGCACACATATGTACACCTGAATTCTGCAGGTAACCATGGGGTAATTCCCAATGTCCACCCACAAGTGATAAATACTTTAACAGCATCATCACAGGACATGTAATACACACGTTTCACCTCTGGGCAACCATGCCCAGGAGAGTAAAGAGGAGACTGCACTATTCTGAGCCTTTTGCTCAAAGGTGCTTTTCTAGTATCTTGCAACTACAGTACTGGACAGAAAACCTGGCTTTTCAATATTCATCTGGTCCTGGACACTGGCAGTGCTCAGGGCAACTAGTGCTAAACCTGCCAGTGCTCAGAGTCATGAGGTGCCAGGAACCAAACCTGGGGCTGCATGTAGATAAGGGATGTGCTCCAGCAACTCGATCCTTTTTCCTCAGGAAAAACCCTGAGCACCACCAGGAGCTGGTCCTTTCCCCACCCACAATAAATTTTAATTTCTCAAATTGATAAAAACTACGAAGCCATAACTCCCAATATCCATAGACCTATTAAGTATAAGAAACACAGAGACTATCATATCAAGTCCTCTCATAACCAAACTGCTCAAAGAGAAAATCTTCAAGTAGCCTAAGAAGGGCAGGAGAGATAAATACAATGAGTAAGGCGCTTACCTTGCACACAACCAACTTGAATTTGATCCCTGGTATCCCATGTGGTCCCCTGAACCTAGCCAGGAGTGATCCCTGAGTGCAGAGCCCTAAACACCATTAGGTGTAGCCCAAAAACCAAAGCTAAAAAGGGTATCAATTTATTAATATCTTTGTCTTCTAGGGTCACACCCAGCAAGGTTCAGGGGTTATTCCTGGCTCTGTACTCAAGAATTACTCCTGGCAGTGCTTGGAGGACAATATGAGATGCTGAGGATCAAACACGTGCAAGGCCAGGTGCAAGGCAACGCTCTACTGCTGTACTATCGTTCTGGCCCCAGGAAACTGGGGCCACACTTAGTAGCATAGGGAGGGGCTATTCAGTGCTAGGGATCTAATTCAGGGCCTTGTTAACCACTTGAGCTAACTTCCTGGTCCCAGGAGCAACACGTTTATTATACACAAATAAATTGAAATCCTGCCTTGTTCCTCTCTGAGCCCAGGTCAGAGTCCCTATTCCAGACCAGCCGGCCCTGTTAATGGAGCTGAGCATTCTTTGGGAAGATACCAGCCCGATGCAGACCCCTGCCCCAAGTTTTCAGAGTCAGAACAACCTTAAGAACTTACCCGTACTGGGTTGTGGTCAATACTGCTCCTCGCTTTTCCTTTTCCAGCTTTAATTTTTTCTTCCTTTCAATATTGGCCAGAGTTGGGTAGTTTCTAGGAAAAAATAGTTTTTAAAAATTAGGGAAAAAAGCATAAGAAACTAGTGACAAATAAAATAATTGTAAACATTTCATTGCTTCTAGAATTTTTTTTTTTTTTTGCTTTTGGGATCATACTTGGTGATGCTCAGGGTTTACTCCTGGCTCCGCATTCAGGAATTACTTCTGGTATTGCTCAGGGCACCATATGGAAACCCAGGTGTGTGGGACCCAGGACTGAAATCTCCAAGCCTGCTTGGATTGGGACTGGGCCTCTTCCACCCAGATCCCCCATCTTCCTGTAATTAGACAGTTATACCCACCAACTGTTCCCGACGCCGTGTAATTCCATCAACGGCCAAGACCCAGAAACTATAAAACCAAGCTCCTGGAAGAGAACAACACAGTCTCCTGCCCCCGTGTCTAGCTGTCCCCACGGGGCCTCTTGGAGGGGTCCAGGTTGAGTTTCCCTCCCCGCCCCGAGCAGAGCCCCAGGCAGCTGAACCAAGCTCCTGACCTCTTGCTGTCCAGTCCTCGCTCTCAGAGAACCCGGCAGGCTACCGAGAGTATCCTGCCCACACGGCAGAGTCTGGCAAGCTCCCTGTGGCATATTCGATACGCCAAAACCCAGGAACAATGATGGGTCTCATTCCCCTGACCCTGAAAGAGCCTCCAATGTGGCACTTGCTAAAATGTCAGGTACACTTTTGGAAAACAGTATGGATGATCCTCAAAAAATTAGAAATTGAGAACAAGGGGGGATGCCCTGCCAAAGAAGCAGGGTGGGATGGGGGGATGGGGGGGTGGGAGGGATGCTGGGACCCATGGTGGTGGAGGATGGGCGCTGGTGGAGGGATGGGTACTTGATCATTGTATAACTGAAACCCAAGCACAAAAATTTATAAGTCTATAACTGTACCTCATGGTGTTTCACTAATAAAAAAAATTAATTAATTAATTAAAAAAATTAGAAATTGAGCTCCCATTTGACCCAGCAATACCACTCCTGGGAATATATCCCAGAGAGGCAAAAAAGTATAGTCGAAGTGACATCTGCACTTGTTTGTTCATTGCAGCACTCTTTACAATAGCCAGAATCTGGAAAAAACCTGAGTGCCCAAGAACATATGACTGGTTAAAGAAACTTTGGTACATTTACACAATGGAGTACTATGTAGCTGTTAGAAAAGATGAAGTCATGAAATTTACATACAAGTGGTACTACATGGAAAGTATCATGTTAAGTGAAATGAGTCAGAAAGAGGGGGAGAGACACAGAAAGACTGCATTCATCTGGGGAACATAAAGTAACATAAGTGACCGAGATTAGCACCAGGAATTTTGCTCCATGACTTGGAGGCCAGCCACAAGTGCTAGGGAAAAAGGAAGCTCAGATAGAGAAGGGAGCACCAAATAAAGGATGTTGGGAGGTTCCTCTCAGGATGGGAAATACGTGATGAGAGTAGACTATAGACCGAACAAGATTGCCACTCAGTGTCTCTTTTGCAAACCACAGCACCCAAAAGGAAAGAGATTACAAAAGGGAATGCTCTGCCACAGAGGTAGGGTGGGATGAGGGTATGGGGGATGGGAGGGATACTGGGACTGGTGGTGGTGGAGAATGGGCACTGGTGGAGGGATGGGTATTCGATCATTGTATAACTGAAACCCAAGCACAAAAATTTGTAAGTCTACAACTGTACCTCATAATGTTTCACTAATAAAAATTTAAGGAAAATAAATAAATAAATAAATAAATAAATAACCAACAACAAAAAAAATCTCAGAGCCAGAATGAATGGAGACATTACTGGTGCCTGCTGGAGGAAATCGATGAACAATGGGATGACAGTGACAGTGACAGTGACCATATGGGATGCTGGGCACTGAACCCAGGTCGAACCTTACCTGTTGTATTATTAATATTGTTCCAGACCCAATTTATTGAAAATTTTTGAGCAAAGAAAGTACACCATTAACAATGCTACAATGAAAGAGATAAGCTGCCAGTGCACAAACTTCTACAAGTATGAAATTAAGGGGCTGGAGCGATAGCACAGCGGAAGGGCGTTTGCCTTGCACGCAGCCAACATGGCCGACCCGAGTTCGATTCCTCCACCCCTCTCGGAGAGCCCGGCAAGCTACTGAGAGTATCTCGCCTGCATGGCAGAGCCTGGCAAGCTACCCGTGATGTATTCGATATGCCAAGCACAGTAACAACAAAGTCTCCAATGGGCCCGCTCGAGCAAATCGATGAACGGGAGGACAGCGACAGCAGAATTTAAATTTATCATAGAAGATGCTCAAATTGATCTAACTCCAATCTCTGGTAAACACCCATAAACTCTGCTAGGAAAAAAATTAAGATCATGCAACTATTCAAATACATGCACTACGTACCACCATAATTACTAACGTGAGGAAGAGGTAGTACTTAAAAAAAATCTACCAAGGAGAATAAGAAAAGCTTAAGGAGAATCAATAATTGCTACAATACAAGGAGTATCTCGCCCACACAGTAAAGCCTGGCAAGCTACCCATGACATACTCGCTATACCAAACACAGTAAGAAAGTATCTAGTACCTTAAAAAAAAAAAAGACTAAGAGGGTAGGAGGGAAAGTGGTATCTGGATCTGGCTAGAGAAATTCAGAAAGGAACGTGGACCAGCTTCAGTGCTCTAAGTAGAGAAAAACCATGCACATAAACCCAAGTCTCAAAGTGAGAGGTACTGAGGGGATGGCAAGTGATTTGTTTTGTAGAAAACATGACACACTTAGGGCAAACAGACAAAAACAGGAAACCGAAACCAAATGTGCCTCAAAGGCCAGATCAGAAAGCAAGTACTTAAGTTAGCAGTGGTGGGGAGTCCCTGAGAGCTATGTGCAGGGAGAGGAAGTACACGAGGCAGTGACTGAGACTCAATCTGATGGCAGTGTGCAGGATGAGCTGCCCTGACAAAGCTTTCTTTGTTCACTGGCAGAGTTGTATGGTGACACAGACACCAAGCTCAGGGCATGAGGGGCAGAGATCTTAGGAGTATTCTAAGGAGGACACAATGTTCTACAACTCTGTTGATTGCTCACGAGAACAAATTTTGAGAAACATGAACAACTATGTCTTGCAAACTTCATTTCCTCCCCTTTCTTTCCTTTTCTAACATCTGAACCATTGACCCAAGTGGCATAGACTGCATTAAAGTCCACGGGCTTATGGGAAATTTATAGGTAACACTCAAAGACAACAATGGAAATGACATTGAGCAAGTGGTATGGTGAAGCAATCAAAAAAAAAATAGGGCAACGAATTTCAATGAGGACAGTGCAAAGCAATCTAGTCAGCCAAGAAAAATAAACCCCATAAATAAAAGATGATGAATGTACAAGCTATAAATAAACATAAGAGGAAAAGATCAAGGTCACAGCAGATAAAAATCTAACAGCCACTCAGCACCGTATGACTACACTTTTGGAAAGCAAACATAATCTAAGATTATATGAAATGAACTTTGGCACATGTAGCAGTGTGAAATCTCCCTCTCATGATAGTCAAAGTGTGTGTCAAAAACTCAGGGTACTGTGTCAAATTTTGTACTTCTAAACCAAACAGGCATGCTGAAGAAAAGGAAAAGTTGTAAGGATCCAGAACATACTGAAAGATAATTAGAAGGATGATAAAATAAAACCTTTGAGGAAAAGAAGAAAGAATGGGAACTACTTGCAGTCTTTAAAAGAGAAGAAGTGACAGTATGATCTATACAGGCGGGCAGCCAGCTGTTCTCCAAAGGTGATGACTCTCACAGGCCTGCAAGTACCCATGCACGGAACTCACAGCTCCTCATCACTCTCCACAGCTCCCCAGAGTCACTGCTGCCTTCCACTCCTTTGCAGAACAGTTTCTGGCCAGCCTGCGTGCTGCAGCCCCATTGCCAGTGAGGCCCTCAGTGAAATAACACAAATCTGATGCTGAGGCGCACCATGTCCCAGCAGGCAGATGCTGCTCCACGGGTGCTTCTCGGTATTATAAGAGTTCCTTAAGGAAGACATAAAGAACACGAAACTTCTTTCACGGAAGGCCCTTTAAACAGGTCACTGCCCTGAAGGCAGGAGTGTTTTCATTAAGCCTTCCAAACTCTGAGGTTACATATGCCAGAGAAGTTTAAGTTCTCACTTCCAAACGGTATTCTTATTTACCTAGAATCTAGAGATGGAAAGCTAGAGGAGGTATAGGTGCCGGAAGGCAAATCATCCCCCAAAGAAAGAGATCAGAAACCTGAGTCCCAGTTACACATATATGACCCTTTCCAAAAAGCACCAGAAACATCCTCCCCAGATAGAAGGAGAAGGAACACCTGGCACTTTGAACAAGGGTACAGTTTGGGTTCCCAAAGTGCACCTGAAACAACAAATCCAAAACAATTGCTTTGGAAAGGCATGATGTGTCTTACATAACACACTCACAGACAGATAAAACAGAATTCAACATCTACTGTTGGAGAACAGACGTTAGGCCCCAGCTTCCTCTATTTTCATCTGCGAAAACCAGCTTTCTCCCTGCATTTCCATCTTTCCCTGATACTCCCTGCCACCAAAAGGTCCTGGCCCTGGGCCCTGTGCCAACTATCCCTTTCTCCTCTTCCCCTCTTCTGCCTCCCTGTACATGTGGTCAGCCTCTACTGGCAATCCGTCGGCAGGGGAGCAAGCGAGCAGGCAACCAGGGCCAAGCGGTATCTAAGCACCCATCACCCTGGCCATGGCATGTGTCTAAAGCTCACCCTACAGCCCATCACATCTCTATATAAACAACCCCTTCCCCCACTCTCCCACTCCACGCCCTGCACTGCACTGCACAAGACACACCATTCTATTTTCATTTCAAACTTTTCCTGAACTTCAAGAAGATGCAGCATTTGCAAGGTGCAGGCTCCCTCTGTTGGGAGTTCTGCAAGAAGGGAGGGGGAGGGGGGGTGGAGTTATAATTTCAAAGGATTTCCTCCCTGACCCCAAGTGACAGCGGT